GCCAATTGCTGCGATCCCCCTGTCACCCCGGCAATGGAAACAGGTTCTGCCCCCACATGTCCTGATGGTAGCAGGGTACACTGCGCACCAGTATCAATTAAGGCATCATATGCCTGTGGCCATTGGATCCACACCATCCAGAAGACCTGATTTTCCGGTGACTCTCTCTGGCTAGAGGCAGGGCCCCTCTAACCCTGGTTATTATTTCTTTCCTAGGCATACGTACTAGTGGTACCTTCAAGGGGATCTGACAGATCATACCCGGCTGCTCGGTCAGGGGAGGCTGAGGCTACCTTCACTTTACTGGAATTCCCTCGGTTAGTGTTTCCCTCCTTGAGTGGATGCACCCTCACTGCCAGGACAGAAGTGGGTTTCCCATCTCTCCTTCCCATGTCTTCCCCATGCAAAAAACCCCCCACAAGTAAGTTTGTGGGGTGTATCCTCTCCCTCTAGCTGGGCGTATTGGGCTCTGACTATTGGGCCTGTGACTTGCACTGGTGCTGCATTGATCTTCCTCACCTCCTCCTTCATCTTTCTCATCTTCTCTTTAAACTCCTCTTTGAGTTCCTTGATCACAGCAGAGACATGAGCCTGCATCACGCCATTGATCATCCTCTCACAATTTCTAAACTTGTTTGCAGCAGAACCCACTGTCTCTCGGCTGGTATCAGCATTAATCGTTGCAATGAAGGTGGTGTATTGACATGGCCCTAAATTTGCCAGATTCCACGGCATTTGCCCTGTGCATCTGACCTTGCCAGGGTCATTATCATGCTGTCCATCCCTCCCAAAGATTACCTCCAATACTGCCACTTTTCTCAGCTGTTGGATCCCTTCCTCAAGGGACTTCCAGCTCATTCTGTGGTGGTGCTCCTGCATTCTCTCCTTGTGGACAAACCTCTCTCTGACACTCATTAAAAGCCACTCCCAGAGGAAAAGGGAGCCTGGCTCCCTTACAAAATTCTGATAAATACCTGAGTCCTGGGTCAAGGGTCCCAAATTCCTTGCCTCACCACCATCCAGTTGCATGCCTGTACCCATAAGGTCCCAGACCCGGTGTAACCAGGTTGTATAAGCCTCACGTCCCTGTCGAACAATGTCTTTGTGCAGATTGCAGAGACTTTCGTACATCAGGGACTTGGGGATGATCTCAAACATTGGCTCCCCTGTGGGTGGCGAGGGCCCTCCTTTCTTATCCTTGTCTTGGTGCTCTGATTTCATCTCAGACCTCCTTGAGTGTGAATGAGGGCAGTGGGCAGTCAGCAGGGGCTGGCCAGGCGAGCTGCAATGCCTGGGCAGGGAGCTGCAATCCCTGGAGAGAGCAGAACCAGAGACTATCTAGGCTTAACAGAGAGCTTTGGCTGTGCCTAAGAGCAAATGAAGCAGCAGCACGGTGCCCTAGACTCAGACTGTGCCAGAGCCTGGAGCGCTGTCAGGCAGTGCCGGGATCCCAGGTGTGGTTCTGGTGCCCACAAGTGAGGAATGGCAGCCCCAGCCTCAGAGGCAGTCAGAAAGGCAACCAAGTGAGAGCAGAGGGAGGGCACCCTTCCGGTTTCTCCTGGGTATGGCTGCAAAAAAACCCCTGCTGCTTCTTCCTCTGCCTGTGCTTGAGGTGTGCTGGTGGCAGAGCCAGCCAGGTTGTGCTCTGCCTTCCAGAGCCTGTTGGAAGCAGGCATGGAAAGCGCTGTGTGCACAGCGGAGAGTCCTGGAAGGTGCTGGCAAGATCATCCTGTGGGAACAGGGCTCTGGGCTCTGGCTGGGAACAGCCTGGTTTTGCTGCCATGACCACAGGCTGGAGTTGAGGCAGGTGAAGAGGCACTGAGCAGCTTGTGTTTGTAGAGGGTCTGGGGATGCACCTCGGAACCTCCACCTGGAAACACACTTGGGGGAATACGAGCTACAGCTGGAGTGCCTGTCCTCAGAGGACCTGAAGTCATTCAACCTTGCCAGCTATTCTTAAGAGTGTGTTGGTGTTCCCCAGGAAAGCTACACATTTGGGGAAATGCCTTTGGAGGAAAGGGACTTGCTTCTCAAGGACAGTGCTTCCCAGGGAGCTCCCAGTGAGCAGGTGCAAGTGTTCCCCTTTGGCTCTCTGGGGTCTTTTCAGTCCTTCAGGCATGTGTTGCTTGGCAGAGGGGCAGGGCAAGGGAGAAGGCTGTGAAGAGCAGGTTTGGCATCCACCTGGACCTGCAGAGACTGACCCAAGCACCTGCAGCAAGGTGTGTTACCCCTGCTTTGGACAGAGGGGTGAGCAGGAGCATCTCTGTCCAGCTGTGAGCCCCAAAGCTCTCTCTGAGAGCTGTGAATTAACAGGCCTTTACGCACACACGTTTCACATCTTCCCTGCCTGCTGTGTTTCAACTCTTGGCTACATGCATTTGCCCTTGCTTGGTGGAAGCTGCTGTGGCCCAGGGCCAGCACAGAGCTGGGCTGGGTGGGCCAGGCAGCGTGGTGGAGAGTCTTGGCTGATCTTGGTGTGTGCCTGGCCTCAGAAAAGGCTTGGAAGGATTGCCTCCCAAGGTGTCCTGCTTCTTGGCTCTCCCTGTGCATCTTGGAGAGAACAAGGGAGGCATTTCTGGCAGCTGGGCATCAGCAGGCCTTAAAATGGTGGGGGTGTTGTGGAGCGAGCCCAGCTGAGATACCCTGAGAGGAGCCCAGGGCTCCTTGCTCCCCTCTGCTGACACCTGAGCATTTCTCTGGTTTCGGGATGACCCTGGCTGTGTGAGGGGTGCTATGTGGACACGACACAGGCAGTCCTGTCCTGCTGGGTCCCAGCAGTGCCTCACAACAGTTCTGCATCCACGTCAGGATGCTGGCCAAGAGAGGTCCTGGAAGCTGAGGCAGCAGATTTTAAGCTTGTGCAGCTGCCTACAGGTCAAGGCCAGTGGTGTTCCCTCAGGATATAGCAGTCCTGAGGGGTCTCCCTCATTCAAAGAAATTGGCAGACAAATGCACTGTCTACCAAAAGCTCTTTTACTGACCTGGCGGGAGGGCGGGGGTCTGCACCCCACTAAAATATTCCTCCACCAGGTATAAATTTCAGTGGGTTGATGCAGGAATTGTACCAAACATACCGTCCATCTTTACGCTGCTGAGGCGATTCGGTAGGCAGGGGGTTGGAAATACATTGGCTCAGATTCCTATACTTGAAGCTGATGTCCAAGCGCTGGCCAGGAGCGGTCTCGATGCCCTAAAGCAGCACAAAGTCTTCCTCATGGCTTCCCTGCACAGGGCTGACTCCACACTTGCCCTTAGTTCTTCTGGTAGACTATGTCTAAAGCTTTGTGTCAAGTCACTCTCAGGTCAAGTTAGGCCTGCCAGGTTTTTCTTATGTTTTTTCTTATGGTGCTGAGTTCTCATGTATGGCTGTGCTAATTACCTGTTTACTTTTGTGACTTGCTTGTGCTTACTTATGTCAAACAAAGGCTTTGTTTCATTGCCAAAGGTGCTTGAGGCCACCCCTCCTTGTGGCATCAGTTGCTTTCCTGTGGAATGTTCTACCTCCCCAAGAGTAAAGAGGGAGCTGGAGAAAGAGCTTGCCAGGCTGCTCTCCATCCTTTACCAGCACTCCTGGTTTAGTGGAGAAGTCTGAGCTGAGCCCAAAGGTGCAGATGGAACAGCCGTGCACAGGAAGGCTCGGTGGGAAGGATGATCCAGGATCCATAGGCCTGGCAGCCTGAGCTTGCTCCAGGGGAAGCCCTTGGAGCAGATCCTCCTGAGGCCATGCCACGGCACTGTGCAGGGAACCAGGGCGTCTGCTGGAGGGTGGGAAAGCTCTGCAGAGGGGTGGGGACAGCCGGGGTTCCTGACAGGGTGCTGAGGGCTTCTGTGCAGGAGTTTGGGGGGAGTTGGTGTTAGTGGGGTGTTGGGGAAGGAGTTTTCTGGAAGGTGAGAGCTCTAGGCTGGAATTTGAGTCACTTTGAAGGCAGCATCTGTGCTTTGCCACAGCTTTGGTTACGCAGGGCAGAAAGAATATTTGTGACTTTTCCTTTTCATGGTCCTGATTCTCCTGCAGGGAAGAAGAGGGAAGAGCTGTACTTTACTGGGCAATTAGATATCTGTAGCAGGGGGAGGATTAACCCTTTTGCCACCCACTCATTTGTTTGAGCTACTTTTGTACCACTGAGTGGACTTTCATTTCTTGAGAGCTTTTATTCCTTAAGAGACCTAGGATATTATCATCCCTTCATAGAAAACCATTTGCAAACCAAACAATGGCTCTTGGTTTTGCCCTTTTTTTGTGTAGTGTAATGTTCTGTAAAGTGACCCTCAATGGATGAGGTTAAGGCAAATGAGTTGCTGCTTTGAGATGGGAAGCAAAATTCCAAACCTCAGGCCATCCCAATTACTTTGGGAAGTTTGCAATGTTTTGGAACCACTTGAGTTGAGCAATGGGATGTAAAGCTTTCCTGAATGGAGGATTCTTCCTTGCCAGATTTTTCTGTGCCTTTGTCGCTGAGGTGTTTTTGTGCTGAAGGCAATAACTTCAATGAGAAAATAATTTCAGCATGGAGTAAGAGCTTCTGACAGAGACCAAGTGTTGCCAGCAGTTGCTCCAGGTGTTCCTGCCAAGCAGGAGCACAGCCCCCAGTGCAGGTGGGTTTGGCTCCCTCTGGCACAGAAGTCCCCCAGGGGCACAGGTCTCTGGGGCAGGAGACGGGCACCAGCGCTGCCAGGGCTCGGGGGGTGGCAGGTCTGCTTGGGCAGGGACTCTGCCACAGCTGCTGATGTCAGCGCTCCCTGAGGCCCAGGGCTCAGAGCAGCATTCGTGCCCTGGCCCACACGTTCCTTGTCTGTGTCACACCCGCGGGTTTAGGATGGCCACCAGCCGGGACGTGTCCCGAGGAGGCCGTGCCAGCTTCTGTGGAAGGCCCCGTTCCCTTCCCAGCGCGGCTGCGTCGGCAGCCCTGGGGGCTCCTTCTGCTGCCCTGAGCCTGCAGAGCAGGGCAGCGTTTGCTGATGGTTTGAGCTGCTCCTAAAGACCGTGCTGGGCTGTCTTGGACGCTTGGGGGAAGGGATTCCTTCCAACCTGAGCCACTTTGGGTGGCCTGGGGGTGCCCCCAGGGCAGGGGGCAGTGTGTGCAGGGGCCCTTTGTGACACGTGCAGCATGGTCACCATGGCATGGAACAGTGTGTCCAAGGGCCCTTTGTGACACGTGGTGACATAGGAGCTGACAGTGACAGGACCATGCCACAGTGCTCCGAGCACGCGACAGGACAGGACGGGACAGAGCAGTGCTGTGAGGAGTCCTCGCACAGCGCACTCGTTCGTGTCTGACCCAGAGATTTCTGAGGCGTTACTCCTGCAGCTGACCTCAAGGCCAGACCACAGGACTTGCTGACCTGTGGCCTTCCTGAGGCTTCTCTTCTGCAGGTGCCCTGGAGGGCAGAGCAAGGGACTTGGTGCCCTGGAGGCATCTCCCATCCCTGCCACCAGTGCCCTTGAGGCAAGAGCACAATCCTTGACAGGAGTCTCCTGTCCTTGTGGCAGGAGCCCTCGAGACCAGAGAGAAGGACTTGCTGTCCTGTAGCCTTCCTCAGGCTTCTCTCTTGAAGGTGCCTTGCAGGCACGAAAGCAGGACTTGCTGACTCGGAGCTTTTCCGAGGCATCTCTCCTGCAAGTAGCTATAGATCCAGTCACTGACATGGAGCAGAAACCCCTAAGAGTGCCCAAGCTGGCCGGGGTGGAGGAAGAGGACAAAGGCCCTGGAGCTGCCCCAGGGCATGAGACTGAAGAGGTGGTGCCATTCAAGCAGCTGCAGGAGGGTGAGTGGCAGAGCTGGGTTGCTGGGCTGCATGGCTAGTGGCTGAAGCCAGCTTGGCCACATCCCATCCCATTGCATCCCATCCCATCGCATCCCAACCCATTGCATCCCATCGCATCCCATCGCATCCCATCGCATCCCATCGCATCCCATCCCATCGCATCCCATCGCATCCCATCGCATCCCATCCCATCCCATCGCATCCCATCCCATCCCATCCCATCCCATCCCATCCCATCCCATCCCATCCCATCCCATCCCATCCCATCCCATCCCATCGGACATGCCCATGGACAGAACAGAAGCTGGGCTGGGGCTGGACCACGTGGCAGCCATGCTCCATCCCTGGGGCATCATGAGGCTCTCCCTGCCGGGCAAGAACAGGGCTGGGCTGTGTTCTCCAGCCTCTCCTGCAGCCCCTCAGCAGCTCTGGCCGCGCTCGCTCTTTACCAGATGCAGCCCTGGAGCGGACACAAGAACAGGAACCCGCCCGTGGCCGCTTCCGCAGAACAGCGCAGGTACCTGCGGCCATCCCCACCTGGGCTGGGCCTGCTGGCACTGCTCAGCCCAGCACCGAGTGGTTGAGCACTCCATGCATTCTCCCTCTCTTCCTGCCCTTCTCCTGCAGACCATCCGTCAATTCATCACGTGCATTTGGCAGGAAGAGAGCACAGGTGTGGGCACCGGGATCTTGGCAAGCTTTCACCTCTTCAGTGCCGAGACCAGTGCTGCCATGCTGGATTTGCTGGTGGAGAAGGGTGTCTCCAATGCAAAGCAAGTAAGCAGTCTGGGGCAAGGGCTTGATTGCCCCAGGACTGCTGTGGCACATCATGCTGGGTGTGCTGGGCTCCCTCAGCCTTTGAGGCCCAGCCCAATGTGGTGGAAAGGGAAGCACTTCTCAGGGCAAGCTGGGCAAGTTGCTGCTCTGGCAGTTCTCCAAGTCTCCCTGTGCCTTCTGTAGGTGCCAGCCATGGTGAGGTACATCCACCGGTGGCTCACGGCCAACGAGTCTGCTGAGCACAGGCTGGACAAGGCCCTTCTGGAGCTGACCAAGGAATACCCCTCTGACGTGCTGATCACTCTCTTGCGCTGGGCCCCATCGTGTGACAGGCATGGCATCCCCACCTGCCTTGAGGCCTTAGGCTTCACCTGTCCCCCCACCCCGTAGAGCCTGTCCCTGCCAGACAGGTGGAGAGTTCCAGGAGCCTCTGGCCCCTCTGTTTTCCAGTCCTGGCATGTCAACTCCAGAGCCTGCTGCCATGCTCCCTCCCTGCCCCTCAGGGCCTGGACCCACGTGGGCTGGCTGGCTGCTGCCAGCCAGGGGCAGGAGTCAGAGGCCGGCCTGAGGGCCAGCGCGGGCCCCTGCAGCTGCCCAGGCCACGCTGCTGTGGCTGAGACCCGCCCTGACACAGAGCTCTGGCCCCACAGAGCTGCCGTGACCATGTGGGGGACCATCATGTCCTCGAGCAGGACCGCGGATCCGGCGCTGCAGATCCTCCTCGATGTGCTGAGCGCCTGGCCAGAGGACAGCGTGTACACCTCCGATGGGGACAGCACAGGGGTCTTTGCCCTGGCTGTGAGTTTCTGGAAGCTGCCTTTGCCAGCCCCCAGGCCACCTCTCCAGCAGCTAGCTCTCTGCCCTGCCCCCAGCTGCATCTCCCTGCCTCAGGCACTGGGCTGAAACCTGGCTTGGGGGCAAGGTTCTGGGCCACCAGGCCGGCTGCTCCCCCTGTGTCTCCCTTGGCCTCTCCCTTGCAGGCCGGGGCCATGCCACATGCATGTCTTGGCACTGATTGCTGTCTCTGGGTGTTTCATTTCTTGCAGGCAACAGTAACAATGTGGAGGGTCTTCAATCTGACCTGGTGCCCACCTGTAGTGCAGGTATATTTCCCCAAACTCCTTCTGCGTCTGCTCTTCCAAGCTTACATCAGCACGCTGGATATGCCAGAAGAGGTGGATACCTTCTGGAAGAGATGCCAGGAGCAACACGACCTTGCTGCCCACCCCAACAGGTGCTCCATCCCAGTCTTCCCAGCCTCCCCATCCCTGCCATGCTCCCAGGGCAGGAGCCGGGCCTCCCAGCGTGACCTGGGCTTTGCTCTGCACACAGCTTTGCACTGCAGACCCTGAAGGCCCTGCTCTGCCAAATGCAGTACGATGACGTGGTGGTAGCAATGGAACGCAGGTGTGCCTGGAACATGCTGCTCTGTGCCCACACCCACCACTATGCAGTGGGTCTGCTGGCCAGGTGAGACCTCATTCTCCCCACCGCCCCTCTCCTTTGTGCCCAGATCACCCCACGCAGTCCCCGTGCTCATGGGCGGCAGGGCCTTGTCCCCAAGGGAGGGATGAGCAGATTTGAAAAGGCTGGGAGAGGAGGGTGCCCTGGAGCAGCTGCCTCCCAAAGCACCCGTGCTCGGGAGTGCTCGGGAGAAGACCAGACCTCTGTGAGTCAGCCCTGGGAGAGGTTTGGCCACTCAGCTCAGGAGCAATGGTGCCTTTTTCTCCCCCCCAGGGAGATGCGCCGTGTCTCCATCATCTGGCGCTGCAGGATCGCATCCTGCCTCTTTGACCTACTCAGCCAAGACATTTCAGACTGGGAACTGCCCGCCCTGACGTTCCTGGTGGAGGTGAGCCCGATGGCCAGCGCTGCCTCGCTCAGCTGCCTCCCACGCCTCTGCCCTCTGGTAGCCGCAGCTGCCTGGGATGGTGCCCTGTGCTGCTGCCTTGGCTCAGCCCTGTGCGGTTCTGAGCTCCTGCCAGCTGGGCACTCCTGTCACTGCTCTGTGCCTTTCAGGTCCTGGACTGCCTGGACTTGAGTGAATGCGGTGAAAAGGTCCTGCAGATCATGACAAGGCACCTGAAGAGACGGTCCAGAGAGATGCGTCGCGTGGCACTCAGAGGCCTCGTGGTGCTCAGCCAGGACCCCTCGATGGTGAGAAGGAGGCAGCAGCTGAAGCTGTGCTGGCAGCCTGGGGCTGGGGAAAGCAGCCCCTTGGGCTTGGCTGGGCTTTGGGAGCTGTGGCAGCTGCTCCCAGCTCTCCAGGGTCACTGTTCAGCTGCCTGAGTGCTCTGGGACAGGCCTTCGGCCTCTGAGCCCTGCAGCAGCAGCAGCAGCGTCGGGTTGCCCAGCCTTGTTTTCCACACAGAACCAAAGAATGTACAGCCTGACTGAAAGCCTTGGCAACCTCCTGCGGGCCGTGGATGAAGACATTGTTGAGATGACCCTCGTTGTTCTCAGCTCTCTGCTCTTCAACAAAGAGATAGCAATAGCCAGCCCCATCGCCCTGCAGCTGGCTGAGGCGCTCTGGCAACTCTTCGACAATGTAAAGCTCTTTGCCCCCAGCCATGGGCACCAGGCGCCGCCTGGAAGCCCGGTGCCTTGGGCCTGTTCACAGGGGGGCCTGAAGCAGCTGATGTGGAGGGGTTCTGCTTCCTTTCCAACAGGACAACAGCCTTGTGAAGCTGCTCTCCGTTCGCCTCTTCCAAGAGGTGATGAACTTGGTGGTGGCCAAGGGAAAAAAGCCCCTGAAGAAGCATGTGAGGCAGAGCCTGCTCCCACTCTTCTTCAACTGCCACGATGAGAACTGGGGTGTGGCACAGGTGAGGGCTCCTGGGCGCCGGGGTCCCCATGGCAGGGGGCTCAGCTGTCTCCCCACAGCCTGGCTCCTCCTCATGGGCTCCAGCTCCCTCCTGGCTTTGGCACAGGGACGCGGCTCCTGTGCCCTGGGCTGCGGTGCCATCTCCGGCTCTCTGCCGCTCTGCAGGCCTCTCGGGAAACGCTGCTTTCTGCAGTAAGGTTCCTGAAGAGAAGGGATCTTCAGCACCTGGTGAACACAGATCAGATGTGGAGCTTTGCTGAGCGCTTGGTAAGGACAGCCCAGAAGCCCCAGCCCCAGCCTGGAGAAGCCGCCTGCCCACGGTGCCCAGTCTGTGGGGCTGGCAGCTGCAGCCCCTGCCCAGTGCTGCACGCAGGGGCACCGGCCGGCGCCCCACACGCCGCTGCCTTCCCGGGGCCACCCGGGCTCTGCTCCAGGCTCCTCTGGCCCCAAGCCCGGCGCTGAGGGAGCCCCGAGGCGGCCGGGCTCTGCCGCGGGGCGGGGGTTTATAAAGGTGCTGAAGTCTGTTCCAGGAATGCATGGCGCTCATGGTCATGGTTGTGCAGCCAGTTTGTTAGAGGGGAAGCAGAGGATGAGGCTTTTCAGCCTTTGCTTTCCTTCTCCTCTGAATCTCTTACCTTCTTATTAGAGAATGTTCCGTTTCCCCTGACGGTTAAAGAGACCATCTTTTTGGTGTTTAATCTGGTAAGCTTTCTCTGTACAGTCTGCAGTCTCTCTAGAATGAGGGCTGAGATTTCTGGAGGGGATGGTGAGACCCCTGACTCAGAAGTAGACCCAGGTGTGAGAAATCCTGAGCGGTCTGGGAAATTGGAGGATATGGGCCAAATCTTAAAGGAATTTTCTGACCCTATAGCCTGGGACTTCCCATGTGAACAAATTCAGAATCCAGCTGAGGTGGCGAAATACCTGAAAGAAAAGTGCTATGATAACTCGAAGGAGAAAAAGATCATTGCAGTGAGCTGGGCCCTGGCATATGCTTATCGCACCCTGCTAGATACTGTAGGACAGCAGACAGAGGAAGCGGGGCAGGGAGATAAATCAGCAGCTATCCCAGTCACTCAGGCTGCAGCCAACACCCCAGGCTCGAAGCTAGCAGCTAAACCAGACAGTGAGCCTAAGCTAGCAGCTAAACTAGACTGTAAGCCTCAACCAATGGCTGTTGCTACTAGCACAAGAAGTGGAAAGTGCACAGAAAAGACTGGTCGACCAGTTGATGACGATGATGATAATAATGCAGGAGAAGGACCCTCAATGCCTGCTGACATAAAATCAGGAGTCAAAGCAACTGGTACAAGATCAGAGGCCAATATTGAGTCCTTTTCCCTAAGGGAACTTTATGGCCTAAGAAAGGATTACACTCGACAACCTGATGAATCTGTAATTAGTTGGTTGGTCCATCTTTGGGATGCTGCAGGTGAGGCTACAATTCTGGATGGCACTGAAGCAAGACCTTTGGGATCCCTGTCACATGATCCTGTCATTGACCAAGGAATGATGAGGGGGGGTAACTCTCACAGCCTCCAGGGCACGCGTTCTGGAAAGTGTAGCACAAAGATACCTGTGTGCAGATGATCTTTATATGCAGCAGACTCAGTGGAAGACTACAGAACAAGGGATCCAACACCTGAGAGAAATCGCAGTGGCAGAGATTAACTTCTCAGATGAAATAACAACTACGAATCCAGACTTGGTACCATGTACATCAGTGATGTGGCAAAGACTTGTATGGCTTGGGCCACATGAATATGCTTCTGCTTTAGCAATAATGAAGCAGGATGAGAGGGAAGAGACCATGCTCGATATGGCAAAGAAGCTCTGAGCATATGCAGATGCCGTACATGGCCCAACACATGCCAGAATTGCAGCAGTGGAAACACGTCTGCAGAAATTAGAAGACAAGTTAGAGTAGAATCATAGGAGACTCAGGGAGGAGATTTAAGAGGACCTTCTCCAAATCTCGGCAGTACAGATCAGAGGTTCTGGTATCCAACACAGACATTCCTCAGATGGGGAGAGAAGCTACCCCCCACGAGCTGAGCTGTGATTCTTCCTGCACAATTACGGAGAAAGCATGAGGAGACGGGACGGAAAATCTACTGCTGCTCTGGAACAACAGGTGCATGAATTGAAGGAAGGCAAGACTCTGAGAGGAAGTTCCACCAAAAGGAGAGCAGCTCCAGTTGCCTGTAGCCAAACTGCCATGTATGATGATGATGATGATGATGATGATGATGATGATGATGATGATGATGATGATGATATGTCCGATGCCCTTGAAGGAACCTCTAAGACACATACGAAAGAAGGATAAACAGTTTTAGAGGGGCCCTGCCTCTAGCCAAGTAGAGATAAGGGAAAACCGTGTTTTCTGGACTGTGTGGATTTGATGGCCTGGCACATCGTAACCACAAGGATATAAGGCTTTGATTGATACTGGTGCACAATGCACGTTAATTCCATCGAGACACATAGGGGCAGAATCTGTCTCTGTCACTGGTGGGACAGGTGGATGACAGGACTTTCCCTTGGTGGAATCTGATGCAAGTCTGATGGGAAATGAGTGGAAGAAACAGCCTATTGTGACTGGCCCAGAGGCCCCATGCATTTTGGGCCTAGATGACCTCCGAAGGGGGTATTTGAAAGACCCAAAAAGACACTCAGGTGGGCATTTGGGATAGCAGCTGTAGTGACAGAGGGCATCCGGCAATTGAACACCTTGCCTGGAGTGTCTGAGAATCCATCTAGAGTAGGACTTCTGAAGGGAGAAGAGCAACAGGAACCAACTGTCACTTCAACAGTGCATCGCTGACAGTATAGAACAACTGGAGATGCTGTGGTTCCCAACCACAAGATGATCTGAGAGATGGAGAGGCAAGGGGTGGTCATCAAAACCCACTCACCATTCAACAGCCCCATTTGGCCTGTGCGTAAATCTGAAGGAGAATGGAGATTGACAGTAGACTACCGTGCATTGAATGAAGTAACTCCACCATTGAGCGCTGCTGTGCCAGACATGCTGGAACTCCAGTACTAGTTGAAGTCCAAGGCAGCGAAGTGGTAGGCCACTATTGATATTGCCACTACATTTTTCTCCATTCCTCTGGCAGCAGAATGCAGGCCTCAGTTTGCCTTTAGGTGGAGGGGAGTGCAGTATACCTGGAACAGACTGCCCCAGGGGTGGAAGCACAGTCCTGCCATCTGCCATGGACTGATCCAGACTGCACTAGAAAAGGGTGAGGCTCCAGAAAATGTACAATAGTAGTTTTCTTCTTCTGGTGAAAAACAAAAAAAAGGCAGAAATTGTACAGTGCAGGTGTATTATTTCACTTCCTGAGAAGCTGAGTAGGTTTGCTACTGCCAGTGGTTTTCATTAGGAAAGAAGAGATTCCTTTAGAGAAAAAAAACTTCCAATTGTCTTTATATCAATGTTATGGTGCTTAATTTCACCAATCATGAAGAGAAATTCTCATCACTTGACATGGAAATCATGATGGTCATGGAGACAAGGATGTCTAGGTCATGCATCAGGAACATCAAAAAGCATTTGAATGCAGGTAAGACTGAACTCCTATACTAGTGAGAAGAGAATGCAACAAAGACATTGTCCTTGTAGAGTCTTCAGGATTAACAGTAGATCAATTTTTTCATGTGAAGTGTTTATGAATAGAGTTAACCTTGAAAATAACATTGTTTTCAAAGACCTCTCTTCTAATGATACACAGTTCTTATCAATAGAAAAAGAACAGCACTTTTTTTCAAACTGTTGTGCACTCCTTTGACAAGAAAAAGAGTATTTTTTCAAGCTGGAAATGATGTTAACTACAAAAATGCCTTGTAGCACATTTGGCACTGTAGCCTCTTATCCAAGATTGAGAGGCAAGATGTTTTCTATTGCCATCTGAGTAGCAGTTGCCTCTGGGCAGTTTTCCCTATCTCTTGTTAATGGGCCCCTCAATGTCTTGCCACATGGCTCAGAGATAACTCCCTCCAGAAGCCATTTTCTGTTTAACAGAAGGTCAAGAACCCACATCGTGACTCAGAATGACATCAGCCCATGGTGACATGCTCTGCCCAGGGGTGAGGAGCTAAGCATTCCCACCTAGATATATCCTGGGATTTTTTAGACAGAGAGGCAACCTTCTCAAAGGTTTCCAAGAAGACACATCTGGGGTTTTCCACTAGATCGACTACACCTTTTCCACAGGACCACTTCACAAACAGAAACCACATCTGCCACTCCAAGAGGACTGCAGCCACTCCAATTTGAACTGCTACCAACACACTGGCCAAAGGGGTGTCAGGTTGTATTCTGACTGTTGGTGGTCTTCCTTTTGTATTATTGCATGTATTTTGTCTCTTTACCCCTTTACCAATAAATTGTATTTCTGACGTGGAGTCTCTCACTGGTTTTGCTTTCAAACCAGAACATCTCTTAATTAGCATCATTTTTTGATTCATCAAAAAAGTTCCACATTGACTATTTTTCAACTTGAATTCATGGCGCCTTTGTACTTAGGAAGCATTCATGAAGAATTTATTGGCTTTTATTTTGTACTCGATCCTAAATACAACACAGGTTCTGCGTTCTGCCATCTGTCTAGCTTCCCCGTCTGATGCAGCTTCTGAGAGGTATTTTCAGAATTGAGGACTACCTGCAAGAATGATGTTTAATACATGCATTTGACTCCTTGCTTCATGCAAAACTATTTTTCTTTTACAGCACAATAATAATTGGAAAATAATGATGATCAATTCAATTCTTGAACTAATACAAAGAGGACTATTGTCATCATTAGAAACCAAGCAAGTCATGCTTCTTGCACATGCAGTACAACCACTAATGCAAATGACCCTGTCCATTCCAAATGAATCTGTATCATAGGAGTGGATTGAATTTGTCTCTTGCTATTTTGCTTCAAACAGAAAATAATTAATTTTTTTGACAGCCAACTCATGATTGCAACCTAAATTCCAACTACTGCTTTCAAAGTGTTGAAACATGTCGGTTTAGAAAAGGATATGGTACAGTACACAATAGCAGACCAGATCATGCCCATTCAAAAGAAATAAAAGATCAAAGGACAGAGTCATTCACAGCTGTAAGCCCTCAAGAAGGTACAGGTCAAATGTCTCCAGAAAACCAGGCTATGGCACAAATTTTCTATGTTGGTGCCAGCAGAAGCAGCTGCTATCTTTCTAGGATGCAAAGCTTGCTTACAGCACCCTTCAGAGCAATCTTCTGTGCCCCTGCCCAATACACTTTCAGCTCTATTCCTTGGACTTCAGGTTTGTGTTTCCACAGAGTCCTGCAAACTGACTCAAAATTCAGGTCATAGATTTCCAAGATTTAGAAATCTTGTGTTATGTTGATTTATTTCATATTTTATCCCATCTAAGCATACTGTAACTTTCTGAAGTGAAATATGTCAAGTATGTCAGGTGTA